AGTCACTTATCAGCGCCTGGTAAATCGAATGTTTTAAAAACAGATTGGGACGACAATGGAGGTATACATCGATGATATGTTAGTAAAATCATTAAAGGCAGAGCTCCATGTTGGGCACCTAGCAAAGTCATTTTAGGTCCTTAAGGAATACAAAATGAAGCTCAACCTTGTCAAATGTGCCTTCAAAGTATTTGCGGGAAAGTTCCTAGATTTCATAGTCAACAGCAGGGGGATTGAAGCTAATCCAGAGAAAGTTAAAGCAGTAATGGATATGAATTTGCCGTCCAACACCAGGGAAGTTTAGCGTCTGACAAGAAGAATAACAGCCCTAATTCGTTGTGTATCTAAATCAAGCGACAAATGCCAACCATTCTTTCAAGTCTTAAAGAAGGCATTTCAATGGGATATCCGATATGAGAAAGCGTTCAGAGCTTTGAAGGACTATTTGAGTTCCCCCCTGTCCTAGTTAGCCCCTTAGAAGGGGAAGAGCCTCAGACAGTGTATTATCCCGGGCAGCCATGTCCTCCCTGGCTGTAGTAGGGGTCGTTTCAGCCTCTGCCTTCTCCCTCTCGGCTTATTGAAGATCATGCCTCTGAGCATGATAGCATACAGCAATAATCAATATCTACTAGGAGGCCTATTGGAAAGGAAAGTAAAAAAGTCACACCGAGGCAAAGAAAGTTGAACTTAAAATAAGGAAGTGATTGATCTTACCACCAAGGAGTTCTGAATGATAGAGCAGAAGAGGCTGTTGGTCGGTCGGGCCCGGTGCACCTCTATATCGGCACCAAAGTGAACAGTCTCACTCACGGTGTAGGCCATGTGAGAATCATTGACAATTGAGTCATTCACTCTGACCACCCTGTTGTTTCGGTCCTGGGCCCGTGGATGTCATTCCTCGGCGACAGGTGGTGGCGGAGGAGGAGGAGTTTGTTGATCTTATTGTTGTTGTTGTTGCTATTGTCGTGGTGGCTGTGGTTGCTACGATGGAAGGCCCCTGCCTCAGCCTAGCCCATCGTGTCTTTGCTTTGTCCTCCTCTCCTCCTCTGCAAGGTCCCGATCACGGACCAAGCCTCAACCAGAAGGCCTTAGTGGTATAGGAGGAAGAGGAGGGGCGTTGATGTTGACCCCTAGAGGGGGTGGGGGGACATTGCTAAAGGACCTCATGCCCCTTAGGGCGGCCCTCCTATTCAAGAAGTTGAGGACAATGCGAGGCTGGCGCGACATTGCGGCCTCAAGTGTGTCTTCCTGGTCTAAACTCTGGAGTATGTTAAAATTGGGTTAAACCTCCCTTCCCGAAGTGCTGGCCTCTACTTGAACAGTTGTTGGAGACCTGCTGGTGGCCGTCTCTTCTACTTCCTCGGCGATCCCCTCTACTTCGGCCTAGGTGGCCCTGTCAAGATCCTCCTCCAACTTCTGCTCTAAGTCCTGTTCCGCAGTCTGCTCAAAAAGCTCGGACCACCAAAAGGGATTGTAGGGCTGAGGAAGTTAAGAGAACTTCTTGTACCCTAGGGTGTAGCCCAAGAGTGTTTGAACCGCTTGGCCAAATCCGTCCCCAATATATCCCCAGACCGTGACAAGATCGCGAAAATTCACCAGGTGTCGAGGTGAGGGAGCAACTTCTGAAGAGGAAACGTCGATACAAAAGAAAGAAGATCGTCAACACTTGTACTTTAACATTAGAAAGCTAAAAACCGAGAAGAGAGGGAGAAGCTGGCGTACTTGTTCTTCGCCACTCCCTGGGATAGGACAAGCCGTGGTACTCGAGGAAGGTTCCCCACTCCCAAGCACCGTTGAAGACCAGTAGGTCATCCTTGTACCCCTTATCGAAATCAGGAAGGTGGGTGATGAGGTACAGTAAGATGTCTCAGGCTTTAAGGTAGAAGGTTTGTTGGGGCATCACTCTCAGTAAGGAGTAGTAGAAGAAGATTTCCTCGAGGCCTAGGTTGACCCCAAGGCGCCTATTGAGCTCCACCACCCCCATGATTATTCTAAAAATGTTGAGGGCGCACTTCCCTAGAAAGAGGAGAAATCTAGAAAGAAGCTGGAGAAACAATGGAAGGAGGGGGAATCTGATCCCACCCTCCATATTTGCCTTGGTGTAAAAAGGCATAGCGTCCTCGGCGCCAACGTTGTGGCGATGGCGAGCTGGGTCAAAATCGTCAACGACAACACTCTGGGGGATGTCATAAAGGACGTTGAAGTTTGTTATTTGTTGGGAACCCTTCACTGTCCATTTCCTCGGCCTAGAGGTCCAAGCCTCTTGGACCTCGTCTACAGGGTGACGTCTCGGCATCTCTTATAGAAGAAGATGGTTCAAAATGTTCTTCCTCTAAGGTGGGGACCTAAGGGACACTACGAAATATGAAGCGACGAAGAAGGAGGATTCAAGGGGACTACCCTGGGGTCTCTGGTTTCTTAGAACAAGGACGACAGGGGGTCTGCAAGGTGACCAATTGCCGAAAAAACGAAAAAGGGAGAAAATAGAAGTAAAAAGGGCGAAGACTCACCGAAAAATACTAGGAAGATGAACTAGGAGATTGAGAGAGCTTGAGAAAGCTTTTTCTCCTTCAATGATGGTAGAAAAAGGGGGTTGTGGTTCTTCAGGCAGCAACTCCGACGATTCTCCGACGACGAAATTTTTGAAGGAANGAAAGCTTTTTCTCCTTCAATGATGGTAGAAAAAGGGGGTTGTGGTTCTTCAGGCAGCAACTCCGACGATTCTCCGACGACGAAATTTTTGAAGGAAAGCTCAAGGGTGTGTAAAATGAAGATGAGGAGAGTAGGCTTTGTTTATATAAGGCCTATGCACCCATCATTGAGCACAAGACACGATGACAGACGCATTCAATGCACACAATCTCCAAAAGGCGGAAAATGGCTGAAACAATGATGAAGCAGTTGAGCCTTTTCACCTAGAAGGTGTTAGATCAGCGACGCGTGTCCTCAGCACCGAGACCCCTACTCTGACGATGACATGTTCCTCGGCGCCAAGGTATGTGCCCTCGGCTCTAAGGCTACCTCTACTCCGGGGGAGTCAAGTGTCCTTGGCTTCGAGGGTACCCACTGAAACCCTGATCTTGCCACAAGTCCTCGACTTCTGAAAAGGCTACTGATTGACAGCTGAGCGCCTAAACTAGACTAGGAATCATAAGGGCACTCTGCACAATGAAGCCAGAATAGCAGAATGAACTGGACACTCAACCAAGGAGAGTTGGACATGTGGTATAGAGTGTAAACTTAGGGGTAAAAAGACAATAGTATCCCAGTTGACATATGGTTGTTGCAAACAAACATTTAATGAATCCTCTAATGATGAGACATCCACAGTGACTTTGGGAGCCGAGGAAGGGGTGCATTAAATGATTCAGGGCCTATGCATTCAATGTCCCCACATTAAAGAAAGAGCATTAAGTGCTCAGCACACCGAGCAATTAATAATGGGGGTTTCCCATGCAAAATAGGAGGCACAGTACCCCATTTCTGGACTCTACCTATTGTCTAGACCATCAGTAATGATAGGTCTTTGAAAGTATAAATAGTCCTCAAAAATACATTACAAAGGTATGCAAATTCACACCTCAAGAGCAATACAGTGTTTTCTTCTTCCCCTCTCTCAAAGAATTGACTTAATCATTGAGGGAATACGCCAGAAAACACTCCAACGCTCTTCTAACCTATTTTTTTGTATGTCAAGAGCATTCTGCGACTTTCTGGGACCTGTTGGACAGCCCCTGGGACAATTCATCACCACTCATTAGGCCCTTTCAACTCATCCCTTGCTGCGGGATCCATCACCATCTCGACGAACGAGTTCACTAGGTGAAAAATCTGTTCCTATTTCATTTATTGTGCGAAAATCAGCGCGCACAATACATTATTTACGTTAACAGATCCATGTGACACCGGTAGCATCCATGTGGTACCGTTGGAATCCAAGTCCCACATTTTGCGGGTTCAACCCTAAATTAATCTTATTGATAATCTCAAATTAGCTATCGTTTTGTTATAATAAATGAAGTTGCTATCCACGATTAACTCAATTTTTTTGTTGTAATTTGACCACATTTAATTAATTCTTTACTGAAAAAAAATACAACTTAACCCCAAATAATAACTTTGGTGTACTCCTTCAACTCTGAAATCTTATCCTTCTCCTATCCATTTGAAACTGTACCTCAGTATTTTCACTTTTTGTATTCTTTTTCTGGAGAAATTTTTGGGTCATTGCTGAAGGAAAGCTTGACCAAACACGTGTCCTCTGTCTCTACATTGATTAGCATACTCTTTTCTTGATGGAAGATTAATGGTTCCTATCTAGTGCAAGTCTTTGATGAGTCGTAAATATAAGTCAATCACGCATTCAGGTCATTTAAGTTTGGACTCAACTATTAAGTTTCTAACATTATACTGACTATTAATTAATTTCACATTACCATAATTCTAGATATTAAAAACTTAGTGGATGTTCAGATCTTTGGGAGAACTGATAATTAAACCGAGTAATTCGAGCTTGACTCGTGTTTTAGATGGGCCGAACGTGAACAAATTTTTAGGTTCAGCTTGAACTCACAAAATTCAACTCGTTTGTATATAAAATAGTTGAGTTCCTTAGGTTGTACTCGAGTTCGGCTCTCTTTGAACTCATCTTGGACTCCAAGCTCAACAGGCTCGGGTCAACGATCAACCTTAATCTTGAACAGTATGAAACCAATTAAAATAGTTGATTGAACAATGTGGTATATTTAACAGAAGAGAATACAAAGTGATATTGAGCATCGTTGGGGAGATCAAAGTGTAAACTACCCTAATCGAAGGTGGTCATTGCCCAGACAACGTCAGTAGTCCGAAAACAGTGCCTGTTAGCACAGATATTGTGAGAATATGTTATTAGCTCTTGAATATTTGAGAATCTTTGTAGACCAACACCCACCCCGCACCACCAAAAACACCATCTAACTTAAAAGAACTTTAAAATAATAGGAACATAGAGAACTAACCTGGAAAGAAATTTAGCACCAGCACACCAAAATTCCAATTACTGGACAGAAGGTTAAGCCAGTGCTCAGCCACAGACCCAAACCAAGCCATGGGTTTTGACACAGAGCGCAGGAATTTCTGAAACAAGATGGAGACGAAAATGAGCCATCGACGCTTGAATGGCTCCTCAGTCCCCTTGGGGCAGTCCACAAACTTTCTTTTCTCAATCTCATTGGAAAACAAGATCCAAATGAGATCACAGAGACCCACATCCTCTGGGGTCAGCAACATGTAATAGCTGGAGGCACTCTTGTTGCAACTACTGTAAGAATAAAATTAAGTTTTTAAAATTTTATTTTAATTATGTGAATTTCAATTGCAAATTTTTTGGTTCTATTTAGTGTGAATATTCAAGAATAATTATTATTGATCTTAAAATTGATTTTATAGGTATTCAAGGCTAAACATTCAAATCCATTGAATATCTATATATATAT